GGAGCTTCTCATTCCTACCCTACGAGCACATCCTCGCCAATCATGCTGGGAAGTGGATTGAAGGAACCCTCAAAGAGCCTAGGCATGCCGCGCAGGTAGGTGATCTATGCGGTGCCGAACTTGACGTATGTTGTAATTGTTTCGGACCATTCGCCATCGCCGGATGATCTTCGATAAGTGCAGCGCTCGGATCTCGACGTAGGGCTACTCTGAATGACGATCTATCCATTGGGTTTGTTGTGAGAATATGCACATTGAATTGTTCGATTGTTGAGGTTAGTCGTCCGGTGGTTGTCTTTGGGATAGTCGATTTGCCTAGCTGGTCATCTACCGTGAACTGTTAGACTTGCCAGTTGCCATCATCGAAATGCGGGGGAGTGAGCATTCTCATCGGTGTCGCTCTTCATTGACCGGATATCCATCTTTGCAGGTCAAGCCTGACGTTCGTCCACTTGACACCAACGAACTACCGAAGAATGTTGTTTTCAAAAATGCTTTTGAACGATTTTGGACACAAGATGTGAATTTGCGCACTATGAATGATATGCTCCCTGATACCTTCACCCTCAGCCCTTCGTTGAAGCTCTCTGGCAACAGAGGTATCCCTATACGGATGAGTTGGAGTGGAACCCCTGTATTCTCCGGGCACCCACACGGAGGAGGGACGGTGTCATCAATACGTGCTCGATCGGTATACTCGATTCGACTAGAGTATATTTATGGTGTGAAGACTTTGGGCTTTGGACAGGCCTGTAGAGTGTATTGGTGTCGGCTTCGAATAGGTTATTTCTTTCTTTTTCAGGGCCAAACTCTTCTCGCTGGCTCCTTGCATGGAAATATTATCTAGTACCAACATATTCGGTAAATGCTACGGCGCTCTCGTGGCGTTATTGCAGTCGGCCATCAACCTGGAGCTCCAGGGCTTAAACATCACCACTGCATCGCAGATGGATCCTTTCTACAAGGCAATAGAGAGAGATATTGAAAACAAGGATGAGGAGAGAGCCAAGCCCTTCGTCCTGAGCAGTCCTGACACGGTAGCGTCCTACATATTGGAGGTCATGCATGATACCTTCATAAACGCTATATGATGTATCACTGCGGTGTTGTTGTTGTTGTGTCTTTGTAGAATGCTGTGGTGTTGTGGTATTGCAAGGAGGGCTTGTCACAGGGTGGGGGGGGATATGCGTAATATGCATTGCATATGGTTGACCATGTTTGTTGGTGATAGTATGGAAACTCTGAGCTACTACTACTACTACCACTACCACTACTACGTGTCGGACGCACGGTGTAAACCGGTATGAAAGCTCCTAGGAATAACAGCTGCTAACAGCTTTCAGATCAACATTGCGGCACGAGGCAAGCAATGTGATCAATACATCCTTTTTATGTACCCAGTGAAGGGCCTCCTAAAACACGCCTCACGATATGCATAGTACTGATACTAGCAACTCGCTGGCATGTTTTGATGTCCAGACCCACAAGCAGCGCATTTTTCAGCACCCTAGGGAGAGACTTTTCTCCATTCTGCGTTCTGTTCAATTCCTCTGCTTGACTCTGCTCGTTTGTGTTCTGCACAGCACATGCGCTCCTCTCGCTATCAATAATTCCACATGCATTGCGTTTCAATTCTGCATATTCCGGTGATCGAGACAATTTGTACAAGTACGATGCTAATTGCTCCCCCGTTTTCCCTACCAGTCCACTCCTTTTCTTAAATTCTACCTTGAGAATACTCCCTTTACTACCCTTACAACACTCCCTATGTTTCTCCCAATGGGCTTCGGCTTCACACAGCGCTTGTTTGTCAGCCAAGGACCATTGGTGCCTTGCAGTGGCGGGCCGAATTTCGGCAACGCTTCTGCTTCCATCCCTGCTCGCTGTCTCCTGCCTCTGTTGAGGGAGGGCCAATCCAATCCAATCCTACTACTACTACTACTACTACTACTACTGCGGGTCTGGTTCAGGTATTGTATAGTATGGACTCAACTCTAGAAATTGGTCCTCATTCTAGTGCCTCACAATTTGTGAGGCACTACAATGAGTTGTTCGTTGCGTGCTCGCTCATTGTGAGTCACAATGAAGCCTCTCGTAACATTATTCTGGTTCTTCTCGTGCGACTATGTTTATGTCAAGGCTAGGGTGGGTGGGAATCAACATATCCGTGGGCTCGGTCCTATGAACGGCGATCCCAACGACCAATTCTATTATGTGGCACATAATATGTGCAGAAGGATTATCTTGAGGCCATTTCTGTACCGAAGGCTTGGGGCATCGTAGACTCTGCTCCGAAGAGAACACACGTGACCATCGCGATTATAGACAATGGAATCGAAGCAAGTCATCCTGATTTGGAGGGCGTCGTCATCGAGGGCTACAACATCGTTGATGATAATAGCGACACCAGTCTGGTATCGCTATTAGACATATGTGACCTACCTTCCCTTAAGGAGGCCAGAGTCTGGCCTCCTTTAGGGAAGGTAGGTCTGGCCGCCAGACTCAATCAAGCTCCCGGAGGAGGGAAGTGGGAGGGAGTTCAGCTCAGTGAGGTATCGATAGTTAGGGTGAGAATGGCAGTGGACTCCATGGAAGCCTGGGTCGACAGCTGATGGGTGGGGTCAGAGAGAGAATATTGAGGAGCTTCCCCCAGTGGCTTATAGCTGCGTCTAAGTTGTTCAGTGGACAGGCACTTTTTGGAGACTGTGAGGGCTTGAAAGACTACGATGTAGCTTTGGATGATAACAACTTTCCCGAGGTCGCCGAAGCTGTAGACGATTCATCACTCCTAGAACTGGCGGGCGGCTTTGTTATTTCGCGTGAGGATTACAACCTCGATTTAGAGACCTTGGTTGCTAAATATGCACTTCTCAAGCATAGACTCCAAAGGAATCATGGGAGTTGGCCACGGTGTACTGATGGAAGAACTGACATGTGTGCCCTGTGGGGAATCATACATTCTTCTCCAGATATGTATACGGGAGTGGAGGAAATCTTGTTTTTCAAAGGGAATCTTGCGCTTAGGACATTTAACGAATCCATAGTCGAGTCGATTTGTAGCTGCCTAAACTCGTTCGACCCTCGCAGGCATTTGGGACACGGGGTGATGGCAGAAGAGGGTCTGTTGATCTGGAACAGACTGGGGTTGGGCCACGAGTCATTGGATGGGTTCCTGAGGGACTCTCTCCGTCGTATGCCTGAAAGCTATAAAGGATGCCGCCGAAAGCTCAATGCTGATGCTCAACGTCGCCAAAATAAATATCAGGTATCCCAAATCATCGACAGAGTACTTTCAAACAAACCCAATAGTGAAGTCTCTGCCTCTCAACCAAGTATGAGATCGAAACTGCCAAATGCTGGGGACCAGTGCAGCGATGACGACTCTGACGCGAGTCCCTGAATGGCACTTTTTGCGTTATGTTGTACTCATGCTTTTGATGTTAATCGTTGTTGACACTTTATCTACCTCTTTGCTGCGCTCATTAGTACTCAATCACTTTGTGCGACTGACGGCAGCCTCATGTCAGCGCAGGGTAACTACAAATAGTTACGGAAATAGGGAAAAACTTACGGAGCGAGTTTCGCTCGCCCAACCGGCAAAACTTACTGTTGGTCAAGTTGTCAATGTATAACTCGTAGAACTCAATGCAGAGTAGGTTGAGGTGCAGCAGTATACAAAGCGTCAATGTGGGCCTTATGTTCGCTACGTGCTTACGTACACATCTATACTAAGTTGAGCAAGATAGCACAAGATAGCAAGAATAAGCTGCGACTAGTAAGTTGGTCAACACTCCGGGGGGGGAGTTTCGGTCGGAGGTTGAGACGACAGGACAATGAGAGAGAATGTGGACTGATGTTCGACTGTAAGATAACTTCATAATGAGCATAAGACTGACTGACTAACAATAATCATATCATTCATCATCCTCAACATCCATAACTTTTTTCAAATTTCCGATATATTCATACTTGACATCATTATCGGTAAGAGACTTGACGATAGCAGCAATAACACCGTTAATACCAACCACAGTATAGATGTCACTTAGCCAACGTTGAGAGAGTTTATGACTGAGACAGTCAAAGTTGTATCTGACGACTTTATCACCAACAGTGAGCTTAGTGAAATCGGATCTCAACGTAGTAGTAGCTCCATAAACATCTCTTGATCTCAAGGAAGTCTCCAAGTTCTCAGTGATCCATTGATGGGTGTCAGTGATAGCTTGAGAGTATTCTAATAATAGTTGAGTTACCTCACGCGTAGTAGGGATTGGCAGTGGTAACATGTCATCAAGAGATTGCTTACCTTCAGAGCTTAGGGAACGTAACGGGCATATAATTGGCGGTAAAGCTCTACCATAAATGAAGTGACCATCGACCGCGAATAGAGAGCTTCCCAAGGAGGGTCGACAAACGTTATTGCATAAATAAACAGCTCTAGGAAGAAGTCGATACCAATCAGCTTGTAAGCCAGGGGAACCACTCTTCTGCAATAGACCACGTAAGATACGGTTGATAGAGTGATGCTTCGCTTCATGCCATCCGCTAAGATAACT